AAGACTGCCAGATGCTGCAGTTTGAAAGCTGGATGGAAAACACTGAAAGAAGATAGAAATGCAAGGAGCAGGAGACAGATTCACAAAGGTGCCAGGGAAGGGATAAGATGGAAGTAAACCAACATAAGATGGTAATAAGGAAAGGAGGGAATATATGGGGAAGGGAGACAAATGTATTAGGTAGGAAACTAAGTGAAGGGAGAATGTGAAAGAGGATGCAGACAGGATGGGCAAAAAAGGGACAGTGAGGGAATGGCAGAAAGAGGCACAGACAAAAGAGGGAAAAAGGAGGGAGTGGAGGAGGGGAAAAAGCAGATCTCCTTTCTAAGAGATAAGAGAAAATAAATGGAATCTCCTGCTCAAAGCAGCCAGCAGCGAAAGGAACATATTAGTGTGTGCATTTGAACAAGAAATGTAAATTAGACTGGTAACAAATTACACAGATGTGTCTTTCCCCAGGGCAGGAATCACAGAAAGAATAATTTATAGTCTCATAAATTTCATGACTTTGAGTACTTGGATAGAGTTGGAAGCATACGGACTATGGAAGAGCAATATTCTCACCAGTGATGGGCTCTGGCTTTGCAGCACTCCATACAGCTGTATGTTTTTTTTTGACCACAGGCATGAAATGTTTTTTCCTGACAAAACTTTTGTCTCTTTGCATGCATGGAGCATTCCTAATTGCTGATTATACTTTTTGACTATAACCTTCACTGATGATCATTCAAAGAGGGCAAACCGGCACTGCTGTAGGACAGTGCTGTGCTCTTCAGCTTGGGTGTTCAGACTGAGATCATCGAACTCAGCATGAAAATGCTTTAAAAGGGGGCGCTTGTTCATCCTGCCAGCACAGTTTGATGTAACGGCTATTTGACTATTATTTATATTCCATTAAAATATAGTAGCTTTTTTTTTTTTTTTAAGGCTGCAAGGTCAAACTCTCAGAAGAGAAGAGATTCCCAGGGTGAGGAAGGATAACCCTTCTGGCCTTATATGCCTATGCATTATGACAGATTGTAGTCAGAGGATCACATGCAATTTTTGCAAAGGATCCCCTTATTGTTTGATGCACAGGGTTAGACTTTTCATTAGATCTTTCCAAAGAACTCCAATCCCCAAAAAACCATCACAGAAAACTTTAACTTAATAGTTGATATTTGGCAATCAAAGAACTGAGTACAGAGCCTGGAAACGAGAAAACATCAAGCAGTGATACTTTCTGTAGCGCTTCTGGCTTTGTCTGGAATTTTCTAACCGTAATTACTATCAAATAAAGGTATTTTTCTGCACTGGGATGGCAGGAAAACATAACAATAGCTTACAACGTAGATTAGTTACAAACACAGTGGGTCATGTAATTAGCCTCAGTGACACAATAAAAAGTCACTGCGCAGCCATCGCCCCTTCCCCTGCTGACTGTGGATTAAAGTGAACTGTAGGGAGACAGCTGAAAGAGGTGGTAGGCAGGGTATGGGGCTACTCACGAACAGCACAATATGAATTCTGTCTCCCCTGCTTGCTTCACATTTAAAGATCGTCCTCGGTCCACAGGGACTGTGCGCCAGCAGGCCTAAGCATGAGACACATCTGTGCTCAAAAGCGTTTTATTCTCCTGCCTGTTTGAACAGACATTGCAGCCCTCCGAGACCTATGTTTAACCAGGTCCCAGGGCTCCAGCTCAAGTAGGATCATGTACGTTTTAACAGCAAAGTGAGGAAAGATCTTTAGTCCTTCCTTGGGAAAGCCTTCATGAAGCCACGGTAGCTCTGCAGAGCAGGACAGAGAAAGAAGAGGAGCACTCTCCCACCTCCGCTAACACCACAGGCCCTGCTGCCAGCAGAAAAACAGTTCCAATTCAATTGTTTTCTATGTGGCAAAGCTGAGATTCCCATTCAGGACATTTAAATGTCGTAAATCAAAGCACCCACAGTAGAACTAGAATTGATCAAGATCAGGCTTTCTGAACAGGGAGGCAAACACACATCATGGCAAGCTAAAGTGGTTCAAGTGTCTGCTTCAAGCTACCTTACCAAAGCAACTGCACAGCTGCATTTTCTTTTAAAATACTACTGCAGTCTTTTAAGAGAGGGGGGAATAATCTAAATTCTGGCAGTGGAGAATATTTCACAAATCATATATGCTTTGGCATCAAGCCCTTTACTCACAGGCTTTGCTGGGAGAGATCCACCCACCTCAAGTGGGATTAATTAAAAGAGGCATGTATCATGCAAATAGTTTCTGTTTCCTTACAGAAATATTCAGAGCACATAACCCAAAACAGCTTTAGAATCAGAGCGAAGCAAGGAAGAAATTATTTCCTGCTCCCCTAACCCTTTTCCTTTCCCTGTACAGTGAGGAACAGTGAGAAAATGCAGAGAGCTCAGTTTCTGCACAATTGCTGTGATTAAATGCTAATAAAGTTGAAAACATTGATTTTTTTTTTAAAGGCAGGGGCTATATCTCCGTAATAAGGTGGCAAATTCCCCAAACGAAATGTGTTTATCATTAGAACAGGATGGTTCAAAACTTACTCCTGAAAACGACCTTTTTAATCTTGCAGCAGAACACAGGAAAAAAGAATGCTTATGTTTCTTTGGCACATCAGGATTTTCAGCTCCGCGTGACAGTGATGGGGGTGCAAAAGAAAGCTTTTTTGGAAAGTCAGAAGAACTTTTAAAATATATCTTTCTTCTCAGGAAGCTAAACCATTTCCCTAGATATGACAAATCCTGACACTTCCAAGGAATCATTGCAGAAAATGGTGGTAAAGCAGACAGAGCACAGAGCCTCAGTACAAAAATAAGTAACAGAGAAAGCTCAAGTTTCCACAAGAAATCTTCCTCAAAACTTTTTTTTTTTTTTTTTTTTTTTTTTTTTATCTCTCAGCCTCATTTTCTGAGTCAATTTCCTACAATCCTGCGAAGGCTGTTATTAAAACCAGAAGAAGAGTAGCAGAAATTCCAAGGCTCAAAAGCAACTTTTAATAGGCACCGGAGCCCGCCACACTGTCCCCCACAGGTGACTTCCCCTGAAGCCCCTTCCCTGGGATTTCCTTTCTCAGAGTTTAGTCAGCAGGAGAAACCTGAAGTTTCGGTAAAAAGGCAAACCCTTCCTTCATCCTTAAGCATCTGAGATTTTTATATCTGAGGCTTTCATAGCTCTAAAAAAGGAGAACCAGGATCCAGTCCAGAAGATGTGTATTACAGACAATTTTTCCACAAAAATGTCAGGCAGTCATACATTCAATTATATATCCAGCTACAGCATTTTAAAAGCACTGACCTCCTTTATCAGCCACTGCTTTGCATGCCATCAGTGGCAGCCATGAATTGAGTTGTTCACAGGCTGCTTACCCAAGTACCTTTGGTAAGCTAGAAAATCCCTTTCTGATCTCCATCCCACCTATAAGTTTAGCATCAAAACGATTATTATCAGACATGCTCCTGGCAAGCATTCTCAGGAAAGCAAGGTTCATGCAAAATCACAGCCAGGCAGGACCAAGGAGACACGCTCATTTGCAAGGCAGGCAAGGTGAGAGCTGCTGGGAGCTATGGTTCTCTCCAGTAGGACAACTGACAAAATACTAGACTTCGTTTCTCTCTCTTGTGTGTAGATTTATTCTCTGATGGCACAGTGGAAACCCTGATGCTACTGCCCTTCAGCTCAGACCAAAAGTATTCCATCTGGGCAACTCCATTTCAACTTCCGCCTTTTTCATGTGAAGTTTAGTACCCAGAAAGGCAATTTTGCCTTTCTCCTCAGTAGTCCTAATCCAAGCTACAGGATATCCACTAAGATGAAAGAGTGCATTTCATAATTGGGCACTGATGCAACACTCTTTTCATAGGAAATGTATAAAAATACTTCATTCATTTGATATACCTCATTTATTTATTCTTTATATTATAAAGATCAATTATATTAGAAATCCTGAGCTTCAAATTTAAGTTACTAATAACTATGACGCATCTTGCCTATTTAAAAGAAAGCATTTAGTAGTTTTTCTCCAAAGGCAGATTATGGTTTTATGTTCAATTACTATTTTTTAAATGGAAACGTGCACATTTTCTTTCTGCTTCTATTGTAACTTGCATTTCTTGCCAACTTATTAATTTCAATGTAACAGTAAATTTATTAAAAATAGAGAAACCCTTTTGTTCCAGCGTGGCCTAATCTGCCCAAGCCTCTCATAATTTAGGAAGTTATTGAAGCCCTTGGAACCAGAACTTTTTACATTTATGAGTGATTAAGTGTATTAGGTCATAGTGAAAATAAATCTTATGGATGTTTTATTCAAATATTTTGCAAAAACAAACTCCAGCTAATGCCACACAGAAAAATTATAAAATATACAAAGCTACTTTTAAAAGTACTGATAAATGCAAAGGCCTTGGAAGGAAAGGAAACAATGTGATCATGAAAATGCTGTTCCTTAACTAAACATTGTGTGCCATGTGACCTACTCCGTTAGTCAACCATGGACTATTTTCAACTGGCCATAAATTATTTGCACTGTGGAATAAACGTCAGACTCTGATCACTTTGTTCCACTGATTCTGCGAGGGCTTGCTCTTGTTCTCCCCCAGAAGACCTATTACTTCCTCTGGTGAGAACTCAGAATGACTAAAGCAAGTTATTGTACCTGGTGTCATGGTTCTAGTGGAGGAATAGATGACTTCTGTCTCTCTGAACCCCTCACGTGGATGCAACACAGCAATGGTTCTTAATGCAAGAGAATCTACTTTCTTTGAATCAACTGTCTGGAAAAAATACGTATTTTTTTTAATAAAAAAAGCTTCTATCTTTTCAAAAAGTGGTATTTGTGCTAAAAATAGGTTCCTCAAAATGCCTTTGACTTGCTGCAGAGAACGCTCAATTTTGATTTGTTATAATACTTATTCAACAAGGATGCTTGACTTTCATATAGAATGCAGAATCAGTCTGTTACGCTAGAGGAAGAGAACCATGCCCAGCACCAGTAGGTTTGGATGTCTTACCTGGGGACACTGGGAGGAGCCCGGGTCGGCCGAGAGGGAACCTGGGGAGGTCCTCCAAGAGCTTCACCACCGCTCGGAAACGGAGGCAACGGTCCTGGGCGGAACGGGACTGGGGGTGCCCCCGCCTGAGGGCCTGGAGATGGGATCGCAGGAGCAGGTCCTCGGCCAGATAAAGGTCTGGTTGGGGGATTATTTAATGTAGGCCTCCTCTGAGTTGAGGGACTTGGAGGAGGTGATCTAGTGAAATATCAGAGATTAAGAAGCTCAATAAGTTTTAGGGTTTGGTTTGTTTGTTTTACAGAAATGAAAAAACTTTCTTACATCTGTGACAAATTTTTTTCTTAACATTTTCCATTGCTTGCATAGTGTCTTGAATCTGAGAAGTATAACTTAGGTGCTGAATGAGCATCACATATATTTAAATTGATAAGTCTCTTTTTCCCCTTTAATTTTTGTTTCCGTTTGGATGGTGCTTCCCAGGTTTGAATCCCATTTGAAAGGGCTATTTAGCAATACTTTGAATATTCACAAGAATATCTACTTCCCTCCCCACCAAGTACTATTCCCCCTGCAACTGAAGAAGAGATCTCTCACACACACACTTACCTTTCCCACAGAGAGTATGCATTAAGATGGTCAGAAATAAACATAAATGAGACAAAATAAAATGGATTTTAATATCAGAATTGTGATAAAGTTTTGTTAAGAGGATTTTCTAGGATGCAGAGCCTGTGTCACTGGCCTCTTATAATGGATTGCAAGTAACAGCCCTGTAGGTGCACAGTTGGGCTTAATTTGCAGATGTAGGTGGGATTACTAGAATGAGGGAAGGGAAAGGGTTGTTTTCCTAAAGAAAACAAAAAAACAAAACCCTATTTAGTAACAGAAGCAGCTGCTACCTGAAGTATCAGCTAAGCTATAAATCCACTGGATGGTCCTCTCAGAAACAGGCATTTACAGACACATCCATAGAAGAAGTATATGTGGGAAAATGTTTTTTTAAAAATTAGCGTGTAAATACAGAACGCATGCTGGTCCTCATCTGCTCTGGGGCTTGTCATCTGGATTTCTGGATCTGACTTCCTGCTTGCATAACATGGTAGAACACAAAGCTCCTTGAGTTCTAGGAAGGTGGCTGCTCATTGAAACCAGAACTAGAAGCAGTCTTTCCTTGAAGACATTCTTGAACACAACAAATGATATTAGGAAAGAAGGCTGGTGGCTTGACTAGAAAGAACATACTGGTATTTAAAGTCCAGCTGGCTGCATATTCTTCATCACTCAAGTTCTTGAAGCGATTCAAAATATCATCTAGACAACAGCAAGATTTTCTGATTTCCCTCATGAATGTCATTAAAGACCTGGAGGACTACCTACCCAAGAAGAGGGACAGAGAGGGAAGCGTTGATGCTGACAACGTCTGCCTGTCCTAATTTTCACTGCAAAACGCATATGAAGATCCTTACCTGCGGGCTTGCTGAAGCCAAGAATCATCTACAGGAGGGGGTGCAGGGGTTGACACAGTGCTAGTGCTAATATCGCCAATGATTGCTAGAGCTTCCTTAAGGGCTTGGTACATCCGTAGCATTTCATCTCGCCTCTGTGCCTGTTCAGCTGACTCCTCCATTAGTGTGTTTTGGTCCTCAGAAGAATATAAGTGAGCAAGGAGCTCTGCATTAATAAATTCTTTTACCTATTTCATGAGACAGAAAAAACCCTTATTATTAGACTAGCCATTGAAAATACAGTACTGAACAAATACAGTGGGAAAACCACTGTACTAGGAGACAAAGCACAACTAAATTTAATCTTTTACTCCAGGAATACTATCATATAAACGAAAGTATAGAAGATACACAAAGAAACCAGAGCTCGGGGGAATTAACTGTGTTCATAATGAGTGCCAAGTAGAACACAGTGGAAAAGAAAGTTGCCTGTTAAATGACATGAGCTGGAAAGAGAAGGCAATACTAGTCGTATGAATTTTCTCCCCTCTAATAAAAACGGGTTGAATCAGCAACTGTCAGTTCAGTTCTCCATAGCCCTGTACAGAAAACTCACAGGGTTACCATTAGTGACAGAGGCTTTCTCCTAATCTCTAAATACTTGGCATAAACAGGAAAAAAATGGCGTTCCCAGAATTACACTGCTCTTTGCTAAAGTCAACTGGCAAACATGTGATCATGGAAAAGTTGAGATTAGAATATATAACTAGGTAGGGAATGTTGGTGAATTTGCATGTTTTGCTTATCAAACTTTCTAAAATGTTTTGAGGTCAACAGGAGAAAAATGAAATACTTCTCTATGTACACCTGCGTGGTATCTCCCTGTGGTTTCACAGGGAGCTTCAGCTCATCGAGGTACGGGTTCCTCTTACTCCGGCTACATCTTCCTACTACCTTGTTTATGTCAATTCTAGCAGACATGCAGCTTCATGTTAGGTCAGATCAGGGACTGATCCAGCTGAAAACTCTCTAGAGAAAAGAAACACTAAAAATGCTGAGCTCAGATCCAGCTGACTGTAACAGCCTGAGGGCTTGCTGTGGCCCGAGGAAAGGCTCATGCAGCTGGGCAGAGCAGATGGAAAAGGATGGACTGGTCATTTTAGCAGCTGCCTGCACGTACATGGGCTTAACACAATTACGAAAACACATTCTGAGATTACTCTTCGTGTTTCAAAATAAAATGTTTTTGTGCAGACACTCCTCAATGCTCTGTGGCCTTTTTTCGCTTGTCTTTGAAAAACTGGATGTGGTTGGAGTCAACACTGATCTGCGCCCCTAAGGTGACACCTATGATAATAGTTCATTTCAAACAGCCTTCCCAATGACTCCCAGGTGTTGGCATTTTGGCCCAATTCTGAGTTGCTGACCGAGAGATAAATGACAGCCATTACCAATGCCATCAGATAGTAAGTTCCCCTGGGAATGGGAATTTTCAGACTTTATAACATCTCTGTCAATTATTTGCTTAGCAACAATTACCCTACTGTAGACCATGTCTTCACCTCTGTCAACTTTCTGAAATTCTAAATATCCCATTCACACACATTCAAACTGAAGGGAGAAGTCCCAAAGTAATCTAATTTAGTATATTGATTTCCTGTTATGCCTGCCCTGGTTATAGAAACCTGGGCCACATTAAGAGAGATAAAAAGCTAGAGGTGCTCTGATTAAATAAGACTGTGGTAAACAGACTAACTGCTGACCTACTAAATCCTCGCATTTGAGACTTTTGTTGTTTTTCTGATCTACTTCTCATCTGGCTTTTTGCTCAGTAAAGCTTATTTGAGCTGGAGATACTAACGATAATACATTCCCAAGATTCTGATTACATAAACCCGAGCTGCATTTGCAAGAGGGGTTGTGCTAGTTTAACTAAATTGATTTAAAACCTAACAGTTAGACAGTGTTTGTGTTCAGACAAGGCCAGTAGGAACAGGCAAACTGCGTGGGCATGGGACCCTTCACTGTCACCTAGCAATGAAAAGGCAGCCAGGAAGGACCTTACAGGGGAAGAGAACCATACTAACTATGCTCTGCTGTCATTTCCCATTCACGTATGACAGGAGATATACAAATTCTTAGCAAAGCCTGCAAAAATTTTCCATGAGTCTCATGCTGTTTTCCAGTAGATGGTACTGATCAAGAGCCAGAATACACTACTTTCCTTATGATTGCCAAAAACTCCACATTAAAAACAGATATCATAGTTAAACAGCATCACATTCTACTTGATGAAGTGAGCATTTTAATGGCATCACTTCAAAAAAAAGAAGAAGTAGTAGTCCTAAAATTAGATTAAGGCCAGAGCTGATTGTAAAAGCATTGTTAAACCACAAATATCTGTTTGAAAAAAAACAGCCTTTGACAATTATCATGAGATCCCTGTCTGCCACTAGCACAAGACTCAAGTAACTCCCTAAACTCTTCTGGAAGGCGATGACTGCTACATTAAGGACAGTCCTTCAATCAACCTCCTTCCTTCTATAGTCAGATGCACTTTACTAGATAGCGGTAGATCTTGCACAATAACCACTTTCTCCAGCTCGGAAAAGAAAGGGAAAACGACACTTACTCATGCCTTTGCTCTTTTCTAGAAAACAGAAACAAAATCACAGGAACGGTTTAAAACGTGCTCATTCATGGACATCAGACCTGCAGTCAAAGCTGAACCACAGCAAGCATCCTATAGGCCAATACCACAAAGCCTGCCCTGTGACTCCAAAACAGGGCGAAACAGGCTTGCAAGGACACTTCAGCCATCGGCCCAGTTGATCCAGTGGGACCGACTACTACAGACACCAATGGCTCATGCAAGGACAATTCATTCCTTGATCTTACATTTGCTATTAACGCTTACTCTGGAGTTTTCCTACTCAGATGAGATTAATATCAACACTGCTTATGGAGTATACACTGTCTATTGCAAGACCACCCGTCTTGTATAATCTGTGACATCTAGGCACCGTGAAATACAAATTCTGAAATGTGTGTTTTGTTCGTGCATGTTTGAATTTCTAATGGTAACTCAGTGCAGTTCGTTGTGGTAAATATATTTTCTTTAAGGTAATCAACATCCACCCTAAGGGAAGCACAAGGGATACATTTGGAATACAACAGTCTAGGCTTAGGCCTCAAAACATGCTTTAGATGCTTTAGAGACAGCATCTAATTATTTTCTGTACGCTAAGTTTGAATCTGATACTTCCCCTGAATTGTAAGTGCTCATTTGCAGGCCCACAAAGTGGAAAGGACGTTTCTAGGAGTACTCGGGAGGTTACCATTGCCATGGAAACAAACTGCTTGGGATCAATTTGTTTCTAGAGTTTTGGAGGCAACGTGATGGGGCAACAGAAAGTACAGGCTATGATCATTAAAGGCGGGGGTTACTTTTATTTAACTCCTAGTGGATGGGGTGGACTTTTGAAGACTCCAACACGTGTACTGTTTAACAGGACCCACCTTCCTTCACAGCTCTCCACTGCTTTCTGGGTCTTTGCAGAACCTTTCGGCTTGGCTTGCCAGCCTTAACTGAAACCTTTATTTCTCTTTTAAATGGTGTTGATTTTTTAAATTTGTATCTTAACTCCTGTTTTTTAACATGGTATTTTACTGCCCGTGCTGCACAGAAACAAGCACGTTAATGTTTTAATCTCATTCTTTACAGTCTTTTAAAAAGCGTTGATTCTTTGGCACAAATTTAAATTCTAGGGTTGCGCTATAGGTCTTAGTTAACACTAGCAAGTCCAAACACAGGCTATGGATTATGAGATCACTTGAAAGGAAGATCATGTTAAAAGTATGCTGTTACTGCATGCCACTGTCACCTAGCGTGGCAGACTTAACTAACGGAACAGCTGATGAGATTAAAAGTACAAAACATTACAGTATTCTACTTCTGAGTAAAGCACGCACTTCAGAAACCTTTAAACTATTCCAAATGAGGAGGTGAGTGGCACAAAATTTAATGTAAACTTTCAAAAGGAACTGCTCACTGAACTCTGCATTTCACAAAATGTGAGCTGAAAAACAGCCCGTTCAAGAGGCACTGAAGTTGTGCTAAGTCTAAGAAGCAAGTTGGCAGCTGTGATCTGGAAAGAGCAGAGGGAACATGCCCACTGTATGAGGGGGAAGGTATTTCCATTGTTCCCATGCTCTTTTGCAAAAAATCATCTATGACTAGAGCATAATCTGGAGTCTGACTTCCTTAAAAAACCTAAAGGAGTTAATGGAATATGTCTTGCCCTTGAGTAAAAATTTTGCTCTTATTGTAGGTACCAGGAAATCCTATTGAAATTTCCTATCCAACCACCTAAACCTCTTTAGTATAACACAAATTCCACAGGGCTAAATGAGATCCATCAGACTAAAGCTAAAGGTGGCTCTGAGTCAACAGTAAATGCTACTTTCTAACCAGATTTGCTTTATAGTGTATTGTATTCATAACAGTTGATCAGTTTGATGACTTAACAGACGGCAGAAAAGTTGCTATCCATAAGTAACAGAAGTTGTGCTCTCCATTATTAATTTATATGGTAGTAATAGCAAACGTAGTTCAACAAGGTCTGTTCAGAACTCTGCCAGGAAGCAAAGGTTGAGGTCCTAGTGCAGTGGAAAAACAATGATATCGCAAAGCCATTTCCTTAATCAAATAGACTTCAGATCAAAGAAAGGCACACACAATAAATCAAACAACTACACCTGCTTATCTAAACAACAGTGCCCGAGGCTTCTAGATTTATTCCTTGAAAAATGATAATATGTAAATATAAAGAAATCCAAACAAAATAACAACTGCCTTAAGAGCCCAAGACAAAGGGCTACGGACTGAAAATGAAGGAAGCACAGTTCTGCTCTGCTGCTCACACAAACTTGTCTAGGTGGAGCTCCCAACCCCAACTTTTCCTGTGACATCAAGCGCAGACAGAAGAGAAGGATCCTACCTTTAAATAACAAATTGCATACTGATTAAGATGTGAGCCAATTCAATCTTATTTTAAAAGCCCTGTAGCACTCTGAAGTAAGGCCACAAAGCACTGCACCAGCCTTGTAGAAAGTTGTAGAACTTTGTTAGCACTATTACAGAAGATCAGAATATTTTGTTTTAGAGTGAGAAATTTTAGAAGCCTTTTTCTCTTTTTGCTACATGCTGCTATTGCCACTACATTCAAGAGGTGTGTTTCTATGAAAGTCAGGGATTTGACAGACGTGTAAAAATAATTTCAAACCTTGGTTTTTACTTACGTTATTGATCATAAGGTGCATGATGGTTTTTGGTATCAAATCTCGGATACACTTGTTAATAATAGACATGTAGGAGTCCACAAGATTGCGAATTGTCTCCACCTGTCTCTCCAATTGAGGGTCCATTGAAAAATTGTCTGCTTGGCCATTCTCATCATTTTCAGTCTACAGAAAAGCAAAAAGGAAAAGTCAAGTCTTTCAGAATGCTGAAAACTGGAAATATATTGGGAACAAACCTGGGCTTACATTGTACTAATCCAGCAACATAATTCACACAGAGAATGTCTGGAGGTTAAAATATGAAGTACTGGCCTGTTTAACATTAGTGTTTAGCATCATGAAATCTGGACTTTTAGAGATTAATGTAATATGAGATATGAGAGTATTTTCAGAAAGTACATTATATATGTCTGCACAAACTTGGAAGTTTACATCAAGGAAAGTTTTAGGACACAGGCGTGTGAAAGTAAATGAAAGCCGAAGAAATTATTTCAGATCACTTGGTGCAATACTTATAATCAAATCTTTTAACACTGAGATTCAGCAAGCCCAACTCATGCAAGCACTGAAAATCTGGATTTTGCGTTTAAAAAAGAAAAAAAAGTTTTTTACTCCTATGAGTAAAACACCATCCTTGTTACTTAAGGCTGATTCAGTGACAAATTCAGCAGTTCAGCCCCAAACTTGTCAGATGTCAATAGCACCTCTCTAGACAAAGGGTTTATGACGGAGAGCAGTAAAAGCATCTTTGGTTCCAGTGCTTCAGGCTCAGCATAACATAGGCTGTTGTATGTATTAGAGATCTTTCTTTCATTGGACAGGAATAACTTATTTGTATGTAAAAAGCTGACTTCATTAAAGAAAATACCACAAACTTTAACTGGAAACTAAAAGGTATGTACTTCACTTCAGTCTGGACTGTTCAAAAACAAGAAAAGTTAACAAAAGAAAAAAAATCCTTTTGGCAAAAACTAAACTGCTTTCTCAGGCTCAAAGATGCCAAAAGAAAGGCATTTCAACCTGGAAAGTTCCCCAAACTCCAACCTACGATATTTCTCCCTGAAAATTAGGAAAACGAATTAAGCCATACTAGCACAAAATCTAAATCTGTTGTGTTGGTAGCTAAAAACATAACATGAGGAAACAGAAATTACTTGCAAAAGATAAATAACCTATTAACAAGACCTAGCTATATATCAGCCAGATTTATCACTATTAGCACAACTCCATTTAGATTATAGCATTTAGCTAAAATTTGCTAATCACTAGTGCTTTACAGTTTCCCTGAGCAGTTAAGTAGGTGGCTATATAAAGGTATTCTGTCACAGCTCTTCTCTAGGATGTCAAATTAATATAAGAATCTATACTTTTTATACACTGGCTGCAGGATGAATAGGCGTCAAATGAAGACTTTAAATTGTCTGATATTTCTTAATCCTGAGTGACTCCACTTTGCAATGCCCAAACTGAGATACTTTAAAAGACCTTGATTTTTAACATGTAGACAGCCCACATCTGAATCATACAAATACTGTACTGCAGCATGTCAACACAACTGAGATGCCAAAAATGACAGTCACCTTGGAGACCTTCGTCTCAAGCATACTACTCCCTGTCTCCAGAAAATCTGTATCAATTTCTAAGTGGTAGTAGGTCTCACGATGGAGTGAACCTCATCCATATGAAATTGATTTGGTAAGTGAAAAACTACTAGTGCTAGATATGAAAACATGTCACCATATTTACTCTTTATATAAACAGTGGGGCTGGATCTGTCCGGTCCAGATTAAATAGCCACAGCTGTGATTTGCTAAGTTGCAGTTTTATTAAGAAAGGAGAGCTAATACACCATTAAAAACAACAACAACAACAACCACCACCACCACCACCTCTAAATGCTTGGAAAAGAACAGGTTATAACAACTTCAAAAGTTCAGACAGTTTTTAATTATAGCCAAACTACTAGACAAAGAGCTAATCTACGGATATTAAAACCAATTAGCAGCACTTCCTAAAAATCTTGGGACAGTGAAGGATACCAGAAGAGCTCTTTATGCAAATCTTGTGTTCAATTCAGTAATGCAAGTAGAGATACGCTAATATATAAACTTTAATCATTTTGTTAGTGCACTGCATATGCAGAAGAGTCACAGCATGCAGTATTTTCCTTCCCCCCCATGTCTGAAAAGAAACTAACTATAATTTTCCCTTTGAAATACCAAAAAGTAAATGGAAAATCATGCATCTATCATATAGCCACAGATTTTATCCAAGCAACTGCAGATAGAAAATGCCCCCTTCCGAGCTCCTCTGGACCTATCTTGTATTCTCTTTCTTTTCCTCTTTGCTGTAGGCATCAAGTATAGTTTGTCCATGTATTTTTTCTTCTAATTTTATTTTCCTATTTAAATTACAGATTGCAATAAGATTCTCAGCTGGCTAAGCAGCAGAGTGACAGATGTTTATCATTATCCTCATCAAGAGAACGTAAAGTAAAAATAGTAATTTGTCTCTGATCTTTACAGCAAAGGGTAATAGTCTGCAGACATTTAACCTTTTACATTCAGGCTCATAGACGATATTTACAGAAAGTGAATAGTACTTCAGGAGTCAGTCTCCTGTTTGAAACTCTAATAGAGCTGACTTCGTACTGTTGATTTATTTTCTCTAAATTCAAAAAAGATCAATCTTCCATGAGTTTACAGTGATTTATTATAAAAGCTTCTGGCCATAGTATCCTTAATCATTAGCTCTCTCAACTGAAGGCTTTTCATGCCAGCAATCACCTTCATGTTAGTGTTTCCATAACACCCTGAGCAACAGAAATCTTTGCTTCTAACAGATTTATCTCTATGGTGCTATAGTATACCTATAAAAGTTACCAGGCTTTCTTCTCTAAAAGGTCTCCATTTTGTGCCAACAACAACGTTTGAGAATAAGGCTGCCTGGTAACACTGTGTATGACAACAAGATAGAAGTGATGTAGACACCTTATTTCATCTACATTCCAGTCTTTGTAAACGGCTGATGTTCTCACTGAGCATCATGGTGACGCTCGTTTTAGTACAAGACACCCTTCAGCCCAAAGGCATGCCGCCGTACATTGCAGAAATGTATTTGCAAATCAGTTCCAATGTATAAAGCCAAACAAGAATACTTTAAAAAATCCTCACATCTGTCTGACCACTGATAAAGTACATTTAAAGACAAGGCTGGACATTTCAGAACATTATCTTATTGATGACCAAGCAGTAAGCCCTGTGTTTTCAGCCTACCAAGCGTTTTCTCAGCTTAGTTAAGAGAGCAAGGCAGTCAGCAATGGTGCCACTGAAACAACGCTCGTGCTGGTACCTGATCACCAGGAGTTTTTCATAAACAAAATTGCTACGTAACTACCTGCTTTTCAGAATCTTCCTCAGAAAATATCATCCTACCTTTCTGAGAAACGAGTGCTCATATACAGACTGCAAATTCACTAGCGTTAACAGACAGCCTAGCAGGGCTTTATTGGCACATTCTCTTGATGTGTATAAACTGTTCCAATGGTTCGGCAGCTGGGCAGTCCTACAACAACAGCCACTGTCTCCAAACAACATCTGTGCCTTCTCTGACCAGAGGCAGTGCTTCATGTACTTCCCATGCCATGCCGCCGTGAAGAAGGCCAAGAGATACTACCTCGGCAAGATGAACAGAAAAGGAGAATGAAGAAGCCAGAAAGAGCTTTCCTGCTTTCTTTCCTGACAGGCAAGGTAGCTGCAAGTCTCCTTTCAGCGCTCCTCATCCTCTAGCCAGGACTTGCTACTTCTGCTAGCAGGTGATAAGTGACAACATATGAATCTGGGCTAAGGTTTCCTGAAATTAGATGCTACCTATTTATCTTCAGTTTAGTCTTACTTAATATTGTCAATTGTTCTCAGGAGCAGAATACTATTACTTCAAATCATCACAATTACAACTACTTTGGGAACATTTGCAAGCCTCCAAAAGAGAGAAACTATGGAAGAATCTAGAGAGCTAAAACCAACAAAAGAAAATTAGATTCATCTCGGAAAACTCAAGCTCAGCTTAGCATGTGATGGAAGTAGACCAAAGCTACAGACAAGCAATACGTGAAAAAAAAAAAAACACAGAAGAGAAGATAATGTGGGAGCCAGGATGGTGCTGCCATTGGTACACACATGTACATTGCCACAGAGGTAAGGAGACACTCCTTCCCTTCCATGTTCTCCACATTTTAGAAAAATGAAAATAATATATGTTCCTTACACTCCGTAGCATATCTTAACCGTCTTTCATGAGTTGCTTTATGATCTTTACATGGAAAGGTGCTAGTGAAACATAAAAGTATGCATCAATGCTACTATCCTACCCTTCCCAGATTTAGGTACCTTCTGTACTAGTAAGGTGCAAGGCATCCCAGCAAAGCAGCTATATGTGGTAAGGATCAACGAAAGTGTCACAAGAGAGATTAAAAACTGCATGTGAAATTCAAACCATTTAAGTTTGTGGGAATTTTACTGCTGGCTGCAACAGGGATAGGATTTCTCCCTACACAGGCATGTCTACATAATTAGACAGAAATGATATCAGTCTGCTGAAGACTGTAAACTCTCTGGTGCATGAGGAATGATTTAATGTGGTACAACGGGATGTAGTTTTGAGTAATTACTTGCAGTGTGAAAAAGGAATAGTACCTCAGGACATCAGGATCATTTTCCTGATTGTGGGCATTATAAGCATGTTGACGAACGTCCCAAGAAAAATGCAGGAAGACTAATTCCTTTGGAAATTTACAGCAAAACTGGATAACATACTGAAAACAGTCCTGAGCTGGCCACACAGAGAGAGCAATACTTCTAATTTCCATGATTTCATTAAATTCAGGGCAGCTGCCAGCATATTTAGGAATGTCTTGTATAACATTCCTGATGTCAGTTCCAAGAAGGAGCATTAGTCTAGTGTGTTCATTAGAAAAGTGTATCAACCAATTTTCTGTAATCAGAAAAGGCAATCTACTGAAAATGGCATAGAAGAAGCAGAAGAGAAGGTGACTGGCAAAAGGGTAAAAGTCAAAGCATCAGCAAAACAGTGTAAGGGTAGGAGATAAATCCATGACCGCTTTCAGAAACCAATAATCTAAAAGCTACTTTCATATCTTTCATTCA